TTGTCTGGGAGCCATATGCCGTCACTGGAAGAGCCATATATGGCTCGCGAGCCATCGGTTCCCGACCGCTGCTTTAGAAGAAGCTGATGGTGTCTTTCTCAACATAACAAAACAACGAATTCGTGGGGGGCGACGGGGGTTATTTACAAGATGAAATGTGTTTGCGTTAAACAGTGACACGTGTATTTTGTACGCGCGTGTGTGTGTGTATGTGTGTTTAGGAGATCGACTCAGCCTCAAATGAGTACCTGGTGCGGTGTGTAAACATCGCCGCTGGGGAGACAAAGGCGGCCCGGCGTGGTGCTGGCCACCCACCCATCCCCACGTGTGCCCTTCCGGCCTTCATAGGGGCTTCTTACTCGCTAACAGCACTTGCCCCAAACAGTCCGCTAAGGCTACACGGGGGATCTTTGTCATTGTGTGTGTCACGGTTTTCGCAATCGTGGTGTGAACCCGGCGACCCGAGTTCAATTTCGGCTCACGACCAAATAATCGCGGCGAATATCTGAACCGATCCTGAAGCCTTGTGTGATGTGTATTAAACATTAGTGATGGGAAGACAAAGGCGGCCGGGCGTTGTGCTGGCCACCCACCCCCTCGTGTGCCCATCCGACCTTCATTGGTGCGAACTCGCGAACTGCACTTGCCCCAACAGTCTGTCAAAGGTTACACGGGGGATCTTTGTCATTGCGGTTGTACGTCTGCGTCTATTTTTACTGCAGTATGTATATCTGTGTAAGATACGCATGTGTGTGTGTATTCATATATACATTATATCATTTGCGTATGTACAAGCAGTGAAAACTCAAACGAAATGTGAACCAATCTCGAATTACTAATTCAAGGAAACACGCTTGTAAAATATTACAATAAACCAATTTCAAACGCACCTAAAACAAGCAACATCTGATGTATATCTCACGTATTCAACTGCAGTATTCGCCTGCCAGACGCACCACCAATATACCAACCGTACAAAATTTGGGGCATCCCCTAGGTCGACTCAGCCTTAAAATAGCCGTCGCGGCTACGTTGCCACAGACGACTAACTCCAGTCTATCGGTGACCAGTCATCTTTGCTGTAAATTGCAAACATTTTACAAATACCGAGTGGCTATTTCATGATTGTATTATCATTTATCAACATAAAATACCTCTGTAGAAGGATTAAACATCAGGGGAATTCACCACTTCCGTGCAAAACAAATAAGTAGTTTGAACTGCGATTCAAAGGCGATACAAATCAATTACCGTATTGTCCAGAATATAAGACGATGCGAATTAATGACCGTATTAATTATCTATAATATAATACGATTGGAATAAATTACCGTATATCTCCAGAACATAATGCGATGGAAATCAATTACCGCATACCTCCATAATATAAGACGATGCGAATCAATTACCATATTCTCCAAAATGTAATACGACGGGAATCAATTACCGTATTATTTATAATAGAATACGATGGTAATCAATTACCGCAATCTCCAGAATAGAAGACGCACCGAAAAATAAAAAAGCACCCCAAGCTCGTGCCTGGTGTCTATACATTTAGACAGATCTGGGGACACAAACTCACACTAACGTACAAAGATTCCCCGTATAGCCTTTAACAGACAGTAGGGCAAGTGCCGATAGCTAGCAGGTCCTCTGAAGGCCGGCACGGCACGCAAAGCGGGTGGTTGTCCAACACCACGCCCGGCCGCCTTTGTCTCCCCAAGTGGCGATGTTTCCTACACTCTGCACCGGCTAATCGTTTGAAGGCTGAGTCGAGCTAGGGGAGGCCCAGAACCAATTTAAATGATCTTAGCAGGGATCGAACCTGGGTCGCCGGGTTCGTAGTGCAGCGCACTAACCGCTACACCACCGCTCCCCACATCGTCATCATCATCATCAACCACCATCACCACCAACAACGTGCATAGAGCTACATTTTTGACGGAACAGTCCCATATCCTGTTCTGGGAATTGAAAGCAATTATTAGCATTATAAACCACATCCATCATAGTTTATAAAGCTGGCCACAGGGCTGTAGGATGTACATCGGTATACAATAACACTGGTCAACACACCTTTTCTGGCATAAGGTATTCCAACGGGTTTAAGGTAATTTTAGGGTGCTGATTCCAAATCTGGCATCAGTTTTTGTCTATCACAAATATTGCATTTTCAATAAAAACTGCAGAAGAAAAATATTAAATAAAACATAAAATGATATTATAAACACACTATCCTAAAAATACAGCACCATATTTTAACACTAAAGCGGCCACTGACTCGCAACAACTTGCAATCATAAGTGACGGAGTTAATTTCGGGTAAAATCAATTAAAATGGGGTATGCCGATAGCATAAAAATGAGATGTGATAGAGCAAATCTGAGATCAGATTTTTGAATCAGCACCCTGAAATTAGTCTAGAACAGCTGCAAAAGTCTAGGCCAAATTTTTGTTGTTGTTGACCAGTGTTATAATACCAGGATATGTGCAGCTTGTGTGGTTTCTAGTGGTCGCATCTCACGCCGATATTCCCAACCCCAGGCCAAGCCTGACAACATCGATCCCCAAATTAAGCGTCACGTCCGATATTTCGCTCCACGTGCCGGGAGAATCTGCAGCAAGTGAACTCGATGAACTGAACACCGAGGAAGTTCCCGAAAGAATCTCCAGCACCCGGCGCGTGGTGCGAAACGTCGAACATCACGCGGCACGACCCCGGAAGGAAAGAAGAAAAAAAAGCAACACGTCCGAGCTGTTCCGACACAACCTCAAAGAAACCCGCAGATGCGGATTTCGAAATTTCACAAGAGGGAGGGGAGGGGGGTGATCGCAGTGCCGGATTATCGTCGTAGCAAAAGTAGCTACACATGTAGTAGCTGCACATGTAGTAGCTGCACATGTAGTAGCTGCACATGTAGTAGCTGCACATGTAGTAGCTGCACATGTAGTAGCTACTACATGAGTAGCTACCACATGTAGTAGCTACACGTGTAGTAGCTACACGTGTAGCTGCTACACGTGTAGCAGCTACACATGTAGTAGCTTCTACATGTGTAGCTGCTGCACGTGTAGTAGCTGCACGTGTAGTAGCTACACATGTAGTAGCTACTACATGTGTAGCTACTCGTGTAGTACCACATGTAGTAGCTTCTACATGTGTAGCTGCACGTGTAGTAGCTGCACGTGTAGTAGCTACACATGTAGTATCTACTACATGTGTAGCTGCACATGTAGTAGCTACACATGTAGTAGCTTCTACATGTGTAGCTGCACGTGTAGTAGCTGCACGTGTAGTAGCTACACATGTAGTATCTACTACATGTGTAGCTGCACATGTAGTAGCTACACATGTAGTAGCTTCTACATGTGTAGCTGCACGTGTAGTAGCTGCACGTGTAGTAGCTACACATGTAGTATCTACTACATGTGTAGCTGCACATGTAGTAGCTACACATGTAGTAGCTTCTACATGTGTAGCTGCACGTGTAGTAGCTGCACATGTAGTAGCTACACATGTAGTAGCTGCACATGTAGTAGCTACACATGTAGTAGCTACACATGTAGTAGCTACACATGCAGTAGCTCACACATGCGTAGTAGCTACTACATGAGTAGCTACTACACATGTAGTAGTAGCTACACATGTAGTAGCTACACATGTAGTAGCTACACATGTAGTAGCTACTACATGAGTAGCTACACATGTAGTAGCTACACATGTAGTAGCTACACATGTAGTAGCTACACATGTAGTAGCTACACATGTAGTAGCTACGGGCACCGCACTTGCAAGGGCCTCCGCGCTAAATGCTTCCAAGCTATCAATTCGGGTTCAGTGATTCTGCACTTGCTCTATTACTATAGTACTATACTGCCTTAGACTTTTACGAACGACTGGGTGTTCAAGGTTAGCGATTTGTCCTATTACCTGGCTGTATTGCAAATGAAAACATACAATTACTTTACTAAGCGGGTTTAAAGTTTGTGTTTTAATATTTACGTTTTTTTTAAAATTCAGAGCCCCTTCGTGACATATGCTACAGGCCCCGCACTAGCTTAGTCCGGCACTGGGTGAGGGGGTAGATAGCAGTCCCAGAATGCATTGCTTTGTGATTGTGGTCCTACATTAATCATCATAATAACCTCAGCGTCTACGGAGATATTTTTTTGTCCGGTAGATATCAACAGACGTAGCATATTTCGGGGGCTCAAGGAGGGATGTGTGGGGGAGGAGGGGAAAGGAGGCCGGGAGGTCGTGGGTCACCGCCCCATAGCCCCCACATCACCCCCCCCCCATCCTTCCCCCATCACCCCCAACATCACCCCCATCACTGCCCCCCCACCCCCTCATTGCTACCAACATCTTCCCCATCACCACCCCCATCGCCCACAACATCACTCCCATCACTGACCCCCAACTCCCCTCCCATCGCTACCAACATCTTCCACATCACCCCCATCATCACCCCCATCATCACCCCCATCATCACCATCACCACCCCCATCATCACCCCCATCACCACCCCCATCATCACCCTCATCTCATCATCACCCCCATCACCACCCCCATCATCACCCCCATTATCACCCCCATTATCACCCCCATCATCACCCCCATCATCACCCCCATCACCCCCATCATCACCCCCATCATCACCCCCATCACCACCCCCATCATCACCCCCATCATCACCCCCATCACCACCCCCATCATCACCCCCATCATCACCCCCATCATCACCCCTATCACCCCCATCATCACCCCCATCATCACCCCCATCACCACCCCCATCATCACCCCCATCATCACCCCCCATCATCACCCCCATCATCACCCCCATCATCACCCCATCACCACCTCCATCATCACCCCCATCATCACCCCCATCATCACCCCCATCATCACCCCATCACCACCCCCATCATCACCCCCATCATCACCCCCATCATCACCCCCATCACCACCTCCATCATCACCCCCATCATCACCCCCATCATCACCCCCATCACCACCTCCATCATCATCGAGTGGCGGTGGCGGCTGCGGTGACTACGCTGCTGAAAAACTATTCAATGTGTCAGCAACAGCAGCAGCAGGACGCTCCTGAAAATGAGTCATACGACTCAGTATGGCTAAATTGTTGGTATTATTATTATTTCAGCTTATTGTTAACATTACGAATAACTTTCCCGGAAAAAATAACTAAGTTATTACTATGCCACAAGATTTGTACCACGTGTTTAAGCAAATAACACCATTTTTTTGACTTGCCACACCAAAGACAAAGACCCCCCGTATAGCCTCAACAGCCTGTTGTATTAAGTGCTGTTCGCGAGTAGCACCTACGAAGGCCGGCACGGCACTCGATGGGGGGGGTGGGTGGCCAGCACCACGCCCGGCCGCCTTTGCCTCCCCAAGCGGCGACGTTTACACACACCTGCACCGGGAGCTCATTTGAGGCCGAGTCGACCTACGGGAGGCCCCAGCACGCGTCTCAAACGTTCACCGCCGCTGTAGCGGGCCACGGCCGGGAGTCGAACTCGGGTTGCGTACCGCGGCACGATCGCCCCTCCCCGTGACACCCTCACCACCATCCACCGCATCCCATCCATCTCCCACCCCATCTCTCTCGCTCCAACCACGACGTTCAACAACCACCCTGCTCACTGCCCCTAGTGCTGCTGCAAGACACCACCACCACCGCCGCTTGCGATCGCACCGACCGCTGCGACTGCCCCGGGCGTGCCACCGCCTCCGACCGCTGCCTCCGACGAGCGCTTGAAGATTGCGCGTAGCGCCATCAGCTCACGACTCAGCTGCTCCACACGCAGTGCCAGCCGCTCGTTCTCGGTCGACAGCTCCTGGACGCGGCGCTGCGCCTCCGCTGATCGACGCTTCGCCTTGTCACGTGACTTGCGCACAGCGATGTTGTTGCGTTCCCGTCGCAGACGATACTCTACGCTCGCCTTGTCCAACGATTTCTTGCCGCTCTTGGCTCGCGCTGCCGGCTGCTGCTGATGATGATGATGATGCTGTTGCTGCTGCTGGTGGTGACAACTCTTAGCGCCGTGATTTGGAGCGAGTCCACTCGCGGTCGCTGCCTGCTGCTGATGATGCTGCTGCTGCTGATGCTGGTGGTGATGTTGGGGGTGCACGTATTCCAAAGCGTGCACTTGCAGATGCTGAGCTGCGTCGCTGTATTCGCTCTGCTGATGGTGCTGCTGGTGAAGATGCTGCTGCTGCTGCTGCTGGTGATGGAAGTACAGCGGTTGTATCTGGTTGTACGGAACACCGGCGACCTGAGTTGCCGGGGGTTGGACTCCAGTTTCATCCAACTCGGGCGGCTCAGGCTTGAGTGCTGAAAATCGTGGCGGCGGCGGCGGGAATGGATGCTGCTGCTGCTGATGCTGCTGATTGTGCTGCAGCTGATGATGATGATGGTGGTGACCGTGGTGGTGATGTCCGTGGAGAGGATGTTGCTTGTCAGCGTATCTCTGCCCAACGCCGATGTGATGCGCGGCCCCGTACTGGTCCGCGTTTCTCCCTTCTTTGTAAAATAAATCGTCAAAGAGTTCTCGCTCTGTCATCTGTTGTTCCGTGGTGACGGCGCTCACTCCCTCGGTGCTGCTGCTCGTGTTGTTGCTGTTGCTGCTGCTGCCGCTGCTGCTGCTGCTGCTAGTGGCGGAGCCGTTGTTGTTGTTGTTACTGTTGTTGTTGTTGTTGATGTAGCGACTCAAATCGATGGAGCTCTCGTGCTCGTACATGTCACCCAGGTCTGGAGTCGAACCCTCGAAAAGTCCGGCCTGCAGTTTGGCGGTCTGTTGCCTCTCGTGCAGGTCATAGAAGTTGCCCACCTCCATTGCCAGAGGGCGGTGGTGGTGGTCGTGGAAGTGGTGGTGGAGATGGTGGAGATGGTGAAGATGGTGATGGAGATTGTGGTGGTGGTGGTGGTGGAGATGGTGGAGTTGGTGGTGGAGAAGGTGGTGGTGGAGATGGTGGTGGTGGAGAAGGTGGTGGTGGTGATGGAGATGGTGGTGGAGATGGTGGTTGAGATGGTGGTGGAGATGGTGGTGAAAATGGTGGTGGAGATGGTGGTGGAGAAGGTGGTGGTGGAGATGGTGGTGGAGAAGGTGGTGGTGGTGGAGATGGTGGTGGAGATGGTGGTGGAGAGGGTGGTGGTGGTGGAGATGGAGATGATAGTGGTGAAGGTGGTGGAGGGAGGAGGTAATGTCAGAGTCTTCTCAAGTGCCCCTCGGCTTGGACGAACACTTGGGGACACGAGAGAGCGAGCGAGAAACATCAACAGTTAGCGAGGATGTAGAACAACGTTGTACAATTTGTGTGTTTGAATACCAGTGGGTGAGTGGGTGGGTGAGTGGGTAAATGATTGAGTGAGACGATCAGTGATTGAGTGAGTTCAATGTATTTCCGTGTAACCAGATGATAAGTCAAGAGAGGTGGGTGAGTGAATGTTTGAGTGTGTGAATGAGTGAGTGAGATGGTGGGTGAGTGAATCAATGAGTGAGTGTGTGAATGAGTGGTTGAGTGAGATGGTGGGTGAGTGAATGAGTGAGTGAGTGTGTGAATGAGTGGGTGAGATGGTGGGTGAGTGAATTAATGATTGAGTGAATGATTGAGTGGGTGATTGAGTGTGTGAATGAGATGGTGGGTGAGTAAATGAAGTATTGAGTGAATGAATGTGTGAGTGTGTAGATGAGTTGGTGAGTGAGATGGTGGGTGAGTGAATGAATGAGTGTGTGAATGAGTGGGCGAGTGAGATGATGGGATGCGACGGTGTATTGAGAGGGTGAATGATTGAGTGGGACGAGAGGGAGTTTCAAGTTAACTTTGTGTTAACCGCGTGAGACATCTTGCCAGTGAGACGATTGATTTGGGAGTCTCTGTTTGCAACAGTGATCTGGTTCACAGAAATGCCCAGAGCCCGGACGAATCGAGCAAAGCAGATAAACAAATCGAACAGAAATCATAAACTGCGTTGTCGCGTGCAGACTAATAATCATCATCATCATGGAAAGCCAGTGCACAAACACAGATCATCGTCAAATAATAAATTCCCTGTCGCGCAAGGCGGCTCGGGCAGATCCGTTTTAGAGTTGCCGTGCAGGAGAACGCCTATCTATGTATGTGTACGTGTGTGTTGAACTTCTTTCGCACCGTACGTAGACGACCGTGCTAAGCGGAGGTGCGGGATAAGGGCAACGAACTAACACACTAAACATTATTCATAATACAGGGTTTTTATTTGTTGGGTTAGATCGCGTAAATAGATTAATGTGTCGTTTAATCCGCTACCACCCGACACAGCCAACTAGTAAGGGTTGTCACGTAAACAAAACGTGGACAATTCGTCACTAGTACAGCACTAGTGTGTAGTGTATAGTGTAGTGTATAGTAGTGTAGTGTATAGTAGTGTAGTGTATAGTGTAGTGTATTGTATTGTGTAGTGTATAGTGTAGTGTGTAGTGTATAGTGTAGTATAGTACAGCACTAGTGTATAGTGTAGTGTATAGTGTATAGTAATGTAGTGCATAGTGTATAGTAGTGTATAGTGTAGTGTATAGTAGTGTAGTGTATAGTGTCGTGTATTGTGTAGTGTATAGTGTAGTGTGTAGTGTATAGTGTAGTATAGTACAGCACTAGTGTATAGTGTAGTGTATAGTGTAGTAAACTAGTACAGCACTAGTGTATAGTGTAGTGTATAGTCGTATAGTATATAGTGTAGTATACTAGTACAGCACCACCGGTGTGTTGGAGAGCCAAGACACAACATTTACAATCTGAGTACGACGTTTCGCCAGTAATTACAGCCAGCTTCATCAGGCGACAGACAGATTTGTGAGCAGTCCACTTTGCAAAAATACAAAGTGGCCGGAACTACGCCCGGCCGCCTTTGTCCTCCGTGATGGCTGATGTTTACACACCGCACGAGGTACTCATTTGATGCCGAGTCGACCTAGGAGAGGCCCAGGACCGGTTCAGATAATCCTCAATGGCGTTGGTGGCCGTGAGCGGGAATCGAACTTGGGTCACCCGGTTCGTAAGCGCGGCGCGCTAACCGCTGCACCACCGCTCCCCCCCCCCCAAAGATAAATATATACACACAGGTACACACACACACATATACAGGTACACACACAGGTACACACACAGGTACACACACAAATAGGTACACACACAAATAGGTACACACACAGGTACACACACACGTACACACACAGACACAGACACACACACAGGTACACACACAGGTACACATACACAGGTACACAGACACACATATGCACACACAGGCACAGACACACACAGGTACACACACAGGTATACACACACACAGGTACACAGACAAACAGGTACACATACACACAAGTTCACACACACAGGTACACCCACAGGTACACACACACAGGTACACATACACAGGTACACAGACAAAAAGGTACACATACACACAATTACACACACACAGGTACACACACACACAGGTACACAGACAGACAGGTACACAGACACGCAAGTACACACAGACACACACACATGTACACAACAACAACAACCGCCATTCGCCACTAAGTGGCGGTGACGTCACCACGATGCTTGTGCCACACACAGGTACACATACACATGTACACACACAGGTACACACACACAGGTACACACACAGGTACACAGACAAACAGGTACACATACACACAAGTACACACACAGACACACACACAGGTACACACACACAGGTACACAGATAATACTCACGCAAGAGGCGAGGAGCAGTTTCCAAGTCCTTCCCCGCTCTCCAGTCGCAGCAGCAGAGACCAACACCTGGGTTCCACACCGAACCCAGGCGCGTCTAAGTTTTGTCAACCAGCGATCAGTGAGAATCCGCGATTCTGCTAATGCCGATGAGGTTTCTGCTGATAGTGGCTTATCTTCTGCCGCTGCTGCTGCTGTTGCTGATGCAGCTGTTTCTGCTGCTGCTGATGTTTCTTCTGCTACTGCTGATCTTACTGCTGCTGATGCTTCTGCTGCTGCTGATGATACATCTGTTAAGAGCTCAGCTCTTAAACTTCCTCAACACGTATCCGCCCGCTGCTGCTGCTGTTGGCACAACGCCTTTTACGTAACATGCGAACCTTGCTACCAAACGTTTCTCTGGTGCTGCTGGTGCTGGTTATTGTTGTTGAACAGCTGATGGTGGTATCACGGTGGTGGTGGTGGTGGTCACTTGCTCTCCCCCAGACGCAGGCTGTCAATGCTCTCCTGGGTGAGCTTTGTCTTTGTGATCACGACTCCTCGTCCAAAAGCTAAGTTAGTGCCTTTACAGGTCTTCTTCGATCTGTGGAGTCTGTGTGTGTGTGTAGAGAGAGAATCAGTGCGGTGTCTCTCTATCTCTCTGTGGAGTCTTTCTCTCTCGTCTTCTCCCTGTCTCTCTCTCTCGCTCGAGAGAGAGAGTTCGCGTGCGTGAGACGAGGGCTGGGAGGGGATTTGAGTTTGTAGGAGGGACGGTCCGGTGCCAATGGTAGGGAGGGAGGTATAGGGAAGGGTTTGGGGGCGGGAGGGATAGGAGTGGGGAGGGAGGACTGAATGTGCGGTGTGGCGAGCGCAAGTACAGGCGGACACAATGACGAGCTGTTATATTTAAACACGTTATTACGAACAACTAGTTCTTAGGACGGTGGCTTTTAATGTTTTAAAAAAAAGACAACATCTTATTTTCGGGGCATCCCAGTGCGTGAACACGTGGTGTCTCCAACTCGTCTCGTCGACTCGATTTCCCGACGGACCTCTTCGTTGTACGACCAGGAACGTCGTCGATGAAATTGTTTTACCTTTTTGAGGCCGCACCGTTACTCACGAAACGCTCGCTTTTATTTGCCTCGCGTTTGTTGCAATTTCAATGATTTGGAGCGTGTGCACGAAGACGACAAAGGTCCCCCGTATAGCCTCAACAGACTGTTGGGGCAAGTGCTGTTAGCGAGCAGCGCCTATGAAGGGCGGAACTGTGGCACACGAAGGGGTGGGTGGCCAGCACCACGCCCGGCCGCCTTTGTCTCCCCAGTGGCGATGTTTACGCATCGCAGCAGGTACTGATTTGAAGCTGAGTGGACCTAGGGGAGGCCCAGGACCGGTTCAGATAATCCTCGCCGGTGTTGGCTGTGAGCGGGAATCGAACTCGGGTCGCTGGATTCACAGCGCACCACCTATCCACCCTCCCACCACCACCATCACCAACCAACCACCACCATCATCTTTTTCTTCTTCTTGTTGTCAATCTGCCGCCTCCATCTCCCCTCGGCCCACGTTTTCACCAACATCTGACGGAAGGGAGCGTCCGATAAGAGCTCGTGGCGTGAGAGGAGGAGGCTGGTCTAGTGGGGGGGGGGGGGGGGGGGGGGTTAAAATAACACTTCCCGCTGGTCCCACGTATCGTGACATGTTGTTGATGGCCCAGCGGTTTGGGGATGATCCCCGGTGCTGGGGCGAATTCACGACGCAGACGATACAAAGGCACAGCGGACCCCTGGGTAGCTACCAGGGATTCATATTCTTAGGTTTTTTGGGGAAAGTTACGTAGGTAAAAAATGTAAATTAATAAAAGTAAAATAAAAATAAAATAAAAGTAAAATAAAATAAAAATAAAATAAAATAAAATAAAAATAAAATAAGAATAAAAGTAAAATAAAAAAAAATCACGACGTTTCTGAAGCAACACAAGCTTCCGTCTTTAGGTGGAACCGTCACAGCACGATAGCTGGAATTTCTCTCACTTGATACAGCTATCGTGCTGTGACGGTTCCACCTGAAGACGGAAGCTTGTGTTGCTTCCGAAACGTCGTGATTTTTATTTTATTTTTATTTTACTTTTATTAATTTAAATTTTTTACCTACGTGACTTTACCGAAAAAACCTAAGAATATGAATCCTTGCAGGTCACGAAAGCTTCACAGCTAGAGCTACCAGGGAACTCATCAAACCGAATCGAACGTTCCTTACGTGGCGCGACTCGTGCAAAGGGTGCAAGGCTTTAACATCACAACGTAAAGCGACTGACGCAATGTAAACAACAATAGGAATGATACGTAAAAAAAGAATTACATCGCATTATAATGAGCTAAAAGTTGAATAAAATGCGTAATTAATACGTAGTGAAAGCGCATAGTTTAATTATAGAGTTGAAGTTTTCGTGACTGCACGGATCCATACTCGTTGGTTATTTCGGTAAAGTCACGTAGATGAAAGATAAAAATAATAATAAAATAAATATTTAGTAATTTTCATTTTGTTATTTTATTATTATTATTTTTATAATAAAATAAAATGTTTAGTTATTTTCATTTTGTTATTTTATTATTATTATTTTTATAATAAAATGAAAAATTAGTTATTTTCATTTTGTTATTTTATTATTATTTTTATTTTTCATCTACGTGACTTTACCGAAAGAACCAACGAGCATAGTGCATAGTTTCTGAATGATTTATATATATCATACGTCGGTGCAACAAATATAATATGATATCAGCTCGAATTCGGACGCTGGCAAACATAACGAGATGTTGAACTTTAATAGACGGTCTCTCACCTGTCCCTCTCTCTCTTTCATCTCGTTACATCATCTCAGTCTCTCGCCCACAATCTCCATCGCTCTCACCTCTCTCTCTCTCTCTCTCGTCCGCATCTCTCGTCGCCAAGCCCGCGTCTCTCGTACGACGTCTCGCCCGAGATTGGTGTAAGGATGGCTACGCGCGGTGAAGAGACACGTGGCGTGCGCTGGCCACTGACTACGAGTCGAGCAAAAACACAACTTCTGATGCCCTTGTGATTTACGCGACCGATGGAGCCGTTTTTTTTCTTTTTTTAAAATCCTTTATATTAAGTTCACTTGCTTGCTTGCTTGCGCGCTTACGACCGTGCAAATCTTTTGGTCGTTTTTTTAACCCACTTCCCGTGATCCAATCGAGCTGACATTTTGCACACAGACTCGTTGTGCGTGACAATTAATTTTCGTGAAATTTTTTTTCTCCAAAATTTTACACTTTTTAGGAATTTTATTTTATATGTAATTACCAATTGCTTAATGGTGGCAAGCAATCATCTGACCCATAGGTGGCAGCCATCTCAAGCCAGAGGACGAGAGGACTCTAGCCGCCACGCATATAAAGGATTTATAGTGAAAAACTTTGTTTTTACGGGTTACTTTTTTTATTTCTTCTTCTTCTTCAAATGAGTAACGAGACGAAACAATCTGACAAGTAAGTGGGAAACAAGGATCTAAACAGGCGCCGCAGAGATAGCCCAGACTGCAAAGACAAAGGTCCCCCGTATAGCATTAACTGACTGTTTGGGGCAAGTGCTGTTAGCGAGTAGACACACTAGGGGGTGGGTGGCCAGCACCACGCCTCCCCAGCGGCGGTGTTTAAAACACTGCACCAGGTACTCGGTTGAGGCTGAGTCGACCTAGGGGAGGCCCAGGACAGGTTTAGACAATCGTCACTGGGAATCGAACTCGGGTCGCCGGGTTCGTAGCGCAGGAGCGAGTTAACCGTTGCGCTCCCGCTCCCATAAACACACACGCACGCAGACGTGCACACACACACGCGTGTACACACACACACACACACGTGCACACACACACGCGCACACACACGCGCACACACACACACACACGCATGCGCACACACACACACGCGTGTACACACACACACACACGTGCACACACACACGCGCACACACACACGCACACACACACACACGCATGCGCACACACACGTGCACACACACGCACACACACACACATGCGCACACACACACACGCGTGCGTACACACAAGCGCACACACACACGCGCACACACACACACACACGCGCGCACACACACACGCACACGTGTAAACGCCTTTCTAGTTGAACATTAATACTGAAACTCTACTCGTGGCTCGGCAGTCCACAAGGCCACGCGGGGAGCCGTAGGGAGAGCGAACTTCGTGATCCCATGAGTGTATGTACTATGAAGCTAGGACTTTTGCCGGAAACGTCGCTTTATGACCCGTACATTCCCTCTACGGCCACAGTGTTACTCACACGGGGACATATCTGACCTCAGGGTTAGATATGTCACCGGTTAATACCGCATCATCCGTAGCTTTAGGGATTCAAGTTTCTTTAAAGAGGCCACTACGAGAGGGAGTTGCGCGCGTGATAGCACCACTCTCAGGCGAGTGGAGCTATCGTGCGATACCCACTGAGCCGTGAATGCAAATCGGAACTCAAGTGTAGCAACACTCTGTCCGTCCCCCCGCCTCCCTCCCTCCCCCCTATGGATTAACAACGGCCGATTATAATTGGTTTTTTACCCTTCTATCTGGCAACAAAACTGACACCTTTTTTCAAGGAGTCATGTTTGCATAGACCACAATACCTGCAGTCATAATACAAAGAAAAGACTAGGCTTTAAGGAAAGCTGTCTCAAGGTGTGGACCAATCAACTTTAAGGACAGTGCATACATTATCAGAGTTATGTTTTTTGTTTGCATTATGACTGCAGGTATTGTGGTCTATGCAAACATGACTCCTTGTAAAAAAAAAGGTGTCAGTTTTGTTGCTAGATAGAAGGCTAAAAAACCAATTATCATATTTTTACTGGCAAATGAGGTTCCCATAGTGTAGAACGGCCGATTAGTTCAGCAGTGATGAGTTCGATTCTTTCAACCAGAGCATCGGCGATCAAACTAAGACGAAGAAAAAGAAACGAAAAATAAAATTTCCCCTCCTTCGAATTCGGTACAACAAAAAATAGCCAAAATTTCAACAGCCGCAAAAAACGCGCACGTGAATGCGTACGCAGATACACAACGTCACGAGTGAGTGAAGTCGTCTCCATCCCCCGATGGGGCACAAGGCAGCAGTGAGATCGCTGATAAGCACATCGCGGTCTTGCGCCAGGTGGTCTTGGGCAGGGCCGTATGATCAAATAGGGCAAGTAGGCACTTGTGTTTAGAGGCCTACTCACCCACCCATGCACCCACCCACTCATTCACCCACCCACTCACTAATTCACCCACCCACTCACTAATTCAATCAGCCACCCACTCACTCACCCACCCACTAACTCATTCACCCATCCACTCACTCATTTACCCACCCACTCATTCACCCAGCCACCCACTCATTCATTCACCCACTCACTCACTCACCCAGCCACCCTCTCACTCACCCACCCACCCACTCACCAATTTACGCAGCCACCCAATCACTCACTCATTCACCCACTCACCCACCCTTTCACTCATTCACCCAGCCATCCACTCACGCACTCACCCAGTCACCCACTCACTCATTTACCCAGCCACCCACCCACTCACTCGCCCAGCCACCCACTCACTCATTCACCCAGCCACCCTTTCACTCATTCACCCAGCCACCCACTCACCCACCCACCCACCCACTCGCCCCCAGCCACCCAGTC